TCCCCCATGGTTTGTGGTGGTTATGTGTAACATCCCAAAATTTAAGACCAAGATTTTCATTTTTAATTAAGTATTATAAAACCAATAGTCTAAAAACATCCATAGTATCATCCCATATCAAAATGAACATGTCAATAAACAAAATGTGTCATAATAAAACAACATCAGAGTATAACTCGCGAAGATCTCATGTGCGGAAAATCATATTGTGATGCGTTGCGATCATGCCAACTCCTTTCCTTTCGAAGAAGAGGTACCTGAAACCAAAACTGAAAATCGTAAGCACGAAGCTTAGTGAGTTCCCCCATCATACCACATACCATACAAAAAATACATTGCCAAGCATATCTGGGTGCCGGCCTCCCCTTCGGTCTATTTCAACCGAATACTACCGAGCATATCTGGTTGCTGGCCTCCCATTCGGTCTATTTCAACCGGATACTGGGTCTATTTCACCCCTACCACTACCACACAATATCGTAGCAAGTGACCACATAAAACATAACAAATAGTGGCACACTAGACAATTATTACAAAGATAACCATCTCTACTACAAACAACTACTAGTGGGCCGACATTGGTGCCTTCGACCCACTCATACAGGAAGGTAACTCACCTCAACCGTGCGTGCCAAAATCGTACTCCTCGGAGGGCTCTGGACTCCTCTCCCTAAAGCATAGCAAGTCCCTTAGTTAGTTATTGGGCCCAAGTATGACTCCCTTATGGTCCAACATCTAATTCATGTCCCAAGGCAAGGTTCCCTAGTCCTTGCCCTAATGGACCTTTTCCCCTAAGGTCCAATCCATAATAACTTTAAAGCCCAAGTCCATTACTTCAAACTTTAAAGCCCAATAAAGCCTAGTAAGGTCCAACACCATAAGTTCCAATCCTAGGCCCAAAGTTCTTACTCCATAGTCGGCAATGAGGCCCAACAAATCCAGACCCACTCACCCAATGCCTAAAAACCCACATTAACCACTCTATACGTGTACGCACGACGTACTTGGAACGTTGGCCTTGACCAGAAGTGGGAAACTGACCCGGAACGCACATCGTACTAGGGGGGTACGCCTAACGTTCCTGGCAGTCACTCTTAAGTCCTTCTTTTGACTTAATTTGTTAAGTCCCCATGCCCAAAACATAGATCTAGGCTTCTAACGACATTCTAAACCATAAAGTTATGGGATTTATGCTTTTGCATGCATGAATGGGGATTAAGACACACATTATGTCTATAAGCTCACTTAATGGCCATCTAGCACTTTCATGGTTGAGGCTAAACCATCAAGATCCGATTTTTATGGTTCTAAACACGTCCAAGAGCCAAAAGGACAACTCATTTGGACAAAATCTTCTAAAACTCAAGAAACGTCAAGTATGGGACGAAAATGTGACATAAAACACCCCAAAACTAGATCTAAGCATGCAATGATCAAGTTTAAAGCTTTATACCTCTAATTGGTCAGAAATCATGCCAAACTTCTGGATCTACAAGCCTTGTCCAAGATCTTGCTCCTTCTTCAAGACCCTTCTTCTTCAAAACCACCAAAATAACACCAAAATGCTCAAAGTAAGCTCAAGATACATGCAATGGAGTTAGGGTTCGAGTTGAGCACTGAGAGAACGAGGAAGGCTGAGAGGATAAGGGTTTGGAGGGTTATAAGTTGTTTAAATATGGGGCAAACCCTAAAATTTAGTGTCTGCATTTAGTCACCCTACGCCCAACGTACGCATGGGGGCTCCCCGTTCTGCACCTCTTATATGTATGCCGTGCGTACATCTTATATGCCTAACGTACGCTCCCCCCCCCCCAAAATCCCAACTTTTTAATAGTTATAACTTGAATAAAAGCAATATAATACCTGATAAATCTCAGACGTTACATTATGTGTGGTTATAGGTGGTGATGGTGAACGGTGGTGGGGGTGACTGGTGGGGTGGTGGGTGGTGGTAGTAATGGCGAGTGGTGGGTTGTTGTGGGATTGATGGGTAGGTGATAGAGCATAGTGGTGATGGATGTTAGCAGCGTGTGGTGATGTTTGGTGGTGGTTTTAGTGGTGATGGTGGTAGGTGGTGATGATGTTGGTGGGTGGTGGGTGGTGGTTGGTGGTAGATGGTGATGATATAGTAGGGATGATGGTGGTAGGTGGTAAGTGGTGGTTGAGATGAGTTGTGGTGGTTGTTGGTACTCAGGGTGTTGGTGGTGGGTAGTAGGGGTGGTTTTTGTGGGTGATAATTAGGATGGTGGTGGGTGGTCGAGGGTGGTGGTATCGACTTTTGGTAATAATGGTGTGTAGTGGTGGGGGTGTGTAGTGGAAGTATTTAATGGTGATGGGTGGTAGTGGTGGGTGGTGGTGGTTATGAGTAGTGGTGGTGCGTGGTGGTGATAGGTGATGGTTTGTGGTGGAGGTGGTGGTGGTGGTAGTAAGTAATGATGGGGGTAAGGGTGGTATGTGGTGATGGTAAATGGTGGTTTTAGTGGTGATGGTGGTAGGTGGTGATGATGTTGGTGGTGGGTGGTAGATGTTGGTAATGAGTGGTAGTGGTAATAGCTGGTGGTTGTGGGTTTAAGTAATGGTGGTGGGGCTAGTGGTGGTGAGGCTGGCGATGGTGGATGGTGGAGGTAAGTAGTGGTGATGGGTGGCAGAGATGGGTGGTGATGATGGGTAACGGTTGGTGGTGGAGGTGGTGGTGGCGGGTGGTGATGATGCTGGTGAGTGATGGGTAAGGTAGGGTGGTGGTGGCAGGGTGATGATATATGGTGGAGACGGGTTGTAGATGGTAGTGGTGAGTGGTGGTGGTGGTATGTGCTGGGTTATGGGTATGGTGGTGGTGATGGATGGTGGAAGCGAGTCATGGTGATAGGTGGTGCTGGCAGGTGGTGGTGATGCTGGTGTTGGATTAGTGTCTAAACCCGTAACTATATTTGGTATGTACTTGACCCGGTTGTGTATGGTCCTTTTGGGTTGCCTTCACCAAAGCAACTTGACAAGGTAATTTGATGAGAAAGAGAGGATATTATGATTTATTAATATATTATAAGAATAATATATTAAAGGAGAAATCATATTTATTTAGTTAGTATTAGTCATAAATTAATTAGGAATTAATTTAGTGACTAAAAGAGACTAATTGAATAAATGGGCATAAACTGTCAAATGTGTGATAGTTGAGTTTTGGGCTGGGAAATCTAATGGACTAAGGGGGAACAAAATTATGATGAAGGATCATCATATTTTCGTCCAAGGCCTTATTCCAGAAGGTTCCTTGGGCTGCTTGGTGAATAAGCTGTCCATTAGGGTTTAGACTGAAACCCTAGCAGCCTACAATATAAATAAGACCCCTAGGCTTCAGTTTTCGGCCTTTTGTTCTTATAGTGTTAATTTCGAATTTTATATATATGCTAGATTAGGGTTTGCAAGCCTTGGATTCATTGCATGTTCAATAGAGAAACCTAGATCCAAGCATTAGGGTTTGTATGAGCACATATGATTGTTCTTATGCCTTAAACCCATCAGCTGGTGGGGGTGGTAGTGACGTGTGGTGGTGCTGGCTGGTGGAAGTGGGTGGTGGTGGTAATGGGTTGTAGATTGTGGTGATGAGTGGTTGGTAGTGGTGGTGGGTGGTCGTTAGAGGGTGGTGATGGGTGGTGGGCGGTTCACTTGAGAAAAGAAAAAATGGAGATATTGAGATTCAACAACCTCAACCACATATTTCTCATTTGCCACTCTAACACTCCATCGTATCGCCAACAACAGGGTATGCGTAATCATAAATGATTATATGACAGAGAGGTATAATAATATATGATTATATATATTTATACGTATACGCCTAATCATAAATGATTATACATATAGGTCTGTGTTAACATATTGAGTCATTATATATGATTATAATGGTTGGTGGCAGAAGAGTTGGTAGTGGCAGAGATGACAGTGATATAAGTAACGGAGGTGACAATACTGGGTTCGGCTGGTAGCAGAGATGGTGGTAGTAGTGGTGGCGATGACGGTTGTGGTGGTGGGGAAGGTGGCGGAGGTGAAAGGAACGGACGACGATATACAATCATTTATGATTATAACCGACTCGTCGTGCCGGTATGCTGGAGGGCTAGAGCGGCATATGTGAACTATGTAGCTGATGTTGAATTTCAAGATTCATATTTTATTTTGAATATCAACGGAACCTGTGTGTGTGTGTGTATATATATATATATATATATATATATATATATATATATATATATATATAACATTTTAAGTTTTTTAAACATCAAATGTATTAAGAGCATCCATATTAATGAGTTCAATGAGAGAATTGAGTAAGATGACAAATCTATGTGTAATTCAGTGGATGAAACTTTACCATTCTGAGATGTCACATTGGCATTCAATGGATTTTGAGTTTAATGATCATTGAACTCTTCAATAGGGAAAATGAAAGTTTTTAATTCCTAAATATTTACTATAAATTACATTTTGTATCATTCTATTGAACTTTGTGGAGTTCAAATATATTGTGAATGACCAAAGTTAAAAAGAAAAAGCCTTTTGTATTAATTAGTTTTGTAAGTGACTATCAATATGAATAGATAATTTGACTTCAAAACTCCTTAATCTTGTTTGTATTAATTAGTTCTGTGACTATGAATATGAATAGATAATTTGACTTCAAAACTGCACTGTTGTATTTATATATGCTGTTCGATTGTGGACCACAATTGAAAATTTATTTTAATTTGCCGCGTGGAATAATACCTGGATCTGCTGTGCATGAAAAGAAAAGTACGTAAAATGATGGAAATTAAGTCTTTACAAGAAAAGGAAAGGAGACCCACAAACGATGGTTCATTACGATAAGAAAACCTGAGTCAACATAAAAGACTTTGTCTTATTTTGTGGACTGAAAATCTTTTCGTTGATTTTAACGCAATCATCTTCTCCTATTTTAAGAGTCCTAATGTTGTCATTGTTGGCTATCATTCTACCAATTTCCTATGGCTGTAATCCTACTGCGTTTACTATTTATAACTATTTGCCTACCTTTTATAGCTGCACAACAGACTAACGGTACTGTATCTGTTGGTGCATCACTCACAGCCACATCCGATGTGAAACCATGGCTTTCATCATCTGGTGAATTTGCCTTTGGGTTCCAACAAGTTCAAGGGAACGATAATTTCTTGTTATCCATATGGTATGACAAGATACCTGAGAAGACGATCATCTGGTATCCAGAAGAAGGTCGGATGGTGCCTACAGGATCCAAAGTTGAGCTACTTCGTGAAAGTGGACTCGTACTCACTGATCCTCATGGCACACAGATATGGAGATCTGGATCCATTTCGGGTGTTGCATCAGGTTTTATGAATGATACAGGTAACTTCATGATTTTTGGTAGCAATTCAAGCAAGATATGGAGTAGTTTTGATTATCCAGCAGACACACTGTTGCCGACTCAGGTTATATTGAGAGGTGGAATGATCATTTCAAAAAGGAGCAAAACAAACTTTTCTGGCGGACGATTCTTGTTTCAACTTCTTGAAGATGGGAATCTTGTTCTTAATACTCGAGATATACCCACAGGTAATGTTTATGATGCTTATTATAGCAGCGACACTTTTGATTCCTCAAATTCAACAAATGGTGGTGAACAAGTGATGTTTGATACAACGGGATACATGTATTTATTGAGAAGAAATGGCCAAGTATTTACTCTAACTCCAAGAGGCTTACTTCCTTCTGGAGATAATTATTACAGAGCTACTCTAGATTCTGATGGGGTCTTTAGACAATATTACTACCCCAAGAATCCTATTGGCAATTCAAGCTGGGAGGTAATATGGTTTAAGCCAGATAACATATGTTTTAGTATAAGTGGGGGTCGAGATAGTGGAGCTTGTGGGTTTAACAGTGTTTGCAGCTTTGATGGTAATTGGCCAAGCTGTGAATGCCCACAGGGTTTCACATTGCTTGATCCAAATGATCCAAATGGTGATTGCAAGCCTGATTTCACTCCAACCTGTGATGAAGTTGATTCAAATAATGCCGGAGACATGTTTGATTTCATCGAGCTCAATGGTATTAATTGGCCACAATCTGACTATGTGCACATGAAACCAACTAATGAAGAGAGCTGCAAAAGTTCCTGTTCTAAAGATTGTTTCTGTGCTGTTGCAATTTATGCAAATGCCCAATGTTGGAAGAAGAGGTTTCCACTCTCTAACGGGAGGAAGGAAACATCACCTCCTGCAAAGGCGTTTGTTAAATTCCAGAAAGGTGATCCTCGTCCTGGAACCCCTTCTCAGCTTCCAGCAAAAAATAAGGATCAGAAAAGTCTGATACTTGTGGTATCGACCCTCTTTGGTACATCGGCGTTTGTAAACATCATATTGATCGGTGTGATTTGTGTGGGTTTCTTTGTAATTTACAAGAAGAAGGCTAGACATATATATCCAAGTAGTAAATCTATTGAAACCAATCTTTCTCATTTTACATATCAAGATCTAGTCGAAGCTACAGATGAATTTAAGGATGAATTGGGAAAAGGAGCTTTTGGGGTAGTCTATAAAGGTGTCATAGGGAAACAGATAGTGGCTGTGAAGAAGTTAAATAGGTTGGTTCAAGATGGTGAAAAGGAATTTCAAACGGAGGTTGATGCTATTGCAAGGACTCATCATAAAAATTTGGTGCAGCTTCTTGGCTATTGTGATGAGGGTGAGCAACGGCTATTGATTTATGAGTACATGAGCAATGGCACTTTGGCAATGTTTCTTTTTGGAGAAACGAGACCTACATGGAAACATAGGAGTTATATTGCTGTAGGGGTTGCAAAAGGACTCGCATACCTCCATGAAGAGTGTAGCACCCAAATCATTCACTGTGACATAAAGCCTCAAAATATACTTCTTGATGACTACTATAATGCTAAGATTTCTGACTTTGGATTGGCAAAGCTTTTGATGATGGATCAAAGTCATACAAACACTGGAATAAGAGGAACAAAAGGATATGTTGCTCCTGAATGGTTTAGGAACATGCCTGTCACAGTAAAGGTTGATGTCTATAGCTTTGGAGTGTTGCTACTAGAGATCATTTCATGCCGAAAGAGCCTGGTTTTGAGTGTGATAATGAAGGGGTGGCAGTTTTAACTGATTTGGCATGGGATTACTATCACGGAGGTAGACTGGATGCATTTGTTGAGAACGATTCCGAGGCCATAGATGACTACAAGAGATTGACGTGGTTTGTGATGGTTGGTCTTTGGTGTATACAAGAAAACTCCGCACTCAGGCCAACCATGAGGAAGGTCGTCCAGATGCTTGAAGGAGGAATTGAAGTGGCAGAACCTCCATGTCCATGCCCTTTCTCTATTACGACTTGCAAATTGTAACAGCTCTACTATATGTTTTTATTTTATTTTATTATTTGTGTTATCACCACCTTCCTAATTGGCTTGTAATCCGTAAACAAATAAAGTGTATGTTGGATCATACTCGATTTGACAAATTAGAGTTAGCTTCTTTTCTTGACGACAGACCACCTATATTATCATCGACACCTGAGCCTGCTATGAAACCCATTATTGTTGCTTCTAATCAGTCTACTTCAACTCCTTATGGACTTTGTGAGCCCACTCTGCACTCCATTCCAACAGCCCAACACGATGATCCGTCAGAACTAGCTCCACACGATGATCCACTTGAGCACGAACCAACCTCTGTGCATCCTCATCACGGCAATTCCACTCATCCCATGGTGACTCGATGTAAATAAAAAATTTATAAGAAACCTCACATTGTTGACTATGCATCGCTTGTTGATCACGGATTGCATGTTTCTTTATTTTCCAGTCATGAGCCCAAAGGTTCCAAATCCGCTTCCAAAAATCCAAGATGGTTAGCTGCAATGCATGAAGAACTTGAAGCCCTTCGTCAAAACAATATATGGACCTTAGTCCCTCATCCACATTACTCTAATGTTGTTGGCTCCAAGTGGGTCTATCGGACTAAATATAACACAGATGTCTCCGTTGAATGTTTTAAAGCATGCCTTGTAGCTCAAGGTTTCTCCCAAATTCCCGACATTGACTACACATATACCTTTAGTCTGGTTGTCAAGGCTTCCACAATTCGTATTGTCCTATCCTTAGCAGTCTTGCATAATTGGCGTTTGCGTCAACTTGATGTTGAAAATGCTTTTCATCATGGTCAATTAAATGAAACTGTCTTTATGGAGCAACCCTCTAGATTTATTGATTCACGATTTTCGCATCATGTTTGCATGTTATCCAAAGCTTTATATGGATTAAAACATGCACCAAGGCCTTGGTTTCATCGTCTTAGCTTGTTTTACGTACCAATGGTTTCACTTGCAGTTGTGCTAACACATCTTTATTCATTTTTGCTAAAGATTAGTGTATTATGTACTTGCTCGTCTATGTGGGTGACTTGATTCTTATATGAAATCAAGAATTTGTTATTACAACTTTCACTACATGCCTAAACCAAGAATTTGCCATCAAAGATCTTGGTGATCTTAATTACTTTCTTGGCTTGGAAGTCAGCTACACTGACAATGGAATGTTTCTACAAAAAATGTTCTTACTCGTGGTGACCTACTTGACTCATAGCATGTTCAAACGCCTTTAGCTACTCATGAGAGCTTTATTCGAGGTGGTGCTATGTTCTCGGGCCCTACTTGTTATTGCTCATTGGTAGGTATCCTTCAGTACTTAACCATAACTAGACCTGATTTATCGTATGATGTCAATCAAGCTAGCCAATACCTTCATGCTCCCACATAAACTAATTTTCGGCAAGTCAAACGCATTCTGCGCTACGTTCAGGGTACTATTCCATTTGGTCTCACATTTAGCCAACCACACACCAACTCTATCTTGGGTATTCTAATTTTAACTGGGTAGCTAATACCGAACTTTTTTTTATTTAAATGCATATTTGTTTAGCTTGAATTTATCTCTCTGTCATATTAGGAGAATATGTTGTAATCAATTCATATAAATATACATACCATACAATCAATTGATGTGTGTATGAGTAAATCTCACTTTACAATGGTGAGCTTTAGGTGGTTAAAGATTGTACTAAGGTGGTGCTAGGGAATGTTAAAGATGTGACCTCTATCCAGAGTGAATTCAAATTTGTAATGTGGAAGGGTTTTTCGAGGAGGAGGTTAAGTACAATGGTGGTACGTGGACGTGGCTTCAATTTTAATCTATTTCCACTTGTATTAGGGCATCCACAATTCATTGAACTCTATAAAGTTCAACTGATTGCCACTTCATCTTTCTACAATCCATACAAATCTATCATTTTTTCCTACAATGCGTTGAACTCTACAAAGTTTAATAGAATGTTACAAAATGTAATTTATAGTAAATATTTAAGAATTAAAAACTTTCCTTTTTCCCATTGAAGAGTTCAGTGGACATTGAACTCAAAATCCATTGAATGCCAACGTGCCATCTCACAATTGTGCAGTTTCATCCATTGAATGACATATAGGCTTGCTACCCTATTCAACTCTCTTATTGAACTCACTATTATGGATGCCTTCAAGTTTAGACATAATATATAAATTAATGCGTACTTTAAAAAGCTACAAAATGTTGCCAGGAACTTTATTATATAAAGGAATTTAGTATTATTTAGTACTTATCCGTTAGTATAATAGTTGTCATCTTTATACTTTTATTAGTTTGGTTGTTAACTCCTTGTAAATTACGGAGACTTCATTGTATTCATATTTAAGCCTTTTACTATTTAATCAAATATCAATAACCTGTTCAATAATATTCTTTATGGTATCAGAGCGGGTCTGATGGATCTGTTTCATTGACACAAACGTTATCATGATGGGAGGAGAAGGATCGCAGCCGAAGAATGATGGGAAAAGTACCACCGATTCTTACTCTCATGTTAGGAAATCAAACGATACTTGTCAAGACTCAAAACTGTAACAACCCGAAATTTCCGTATCATTTATTGTAACTCTTTCGTAGTACCATTCGCGCAACCAATCGTCATTCCAAATTCGATTTCCGATCTTCCGTATAATTAGGTCATTAATTAATACACATTTAAAATGACTTAATGGGTGTCTTAATACATTTAGAAATCATTTTAACACCCAACTTTAGTGATCGGAATATTTCTAAAAATTACCGTATCGGGTTATGGTAACTCAATCGGGTACAACCAAAAGCCTCGTCTAACGCCGGTATCGGGTAAAATTCTACCGTGTCCAAAACTTAAACACTATATAAACGTGTTTAAGACTCCATTTGAAGCCTTTGGTCAATTTACCATTAAACACTCACAACCTCTCTCCTCAACCCAAAATCAAGGTCCAAAACAAAGATTTAAGGCTTGAAATCAAAGAGGTAACACCCCTAACTTGTTATTCAACCTCTTTAGCCTTCAATTTTGTGTTTAATTTGTGATTTGGGACCAAGAACATGAGTTTACGGCCAAGGAACTAGCTTGGGCCGTAAACTCCTATCAATGGGGTTTTTAAGCCCTAAAACTCTTCTTTAGCATTATTGGACATTAGATATGACTTAATGGCTTAATGGAAAGGACTTATAACATGTAAAACATTGATTTTGAAGGACAAAAGTGAGTTTACGGCCAAGACACATTCTTGGGCCGTAAACTCATATTCAAAGGGTTTTTGAGCCAAGTTAACCCTTCCAAATCATAGTTGGGACTTAGATATGACTTGTGGGACATGGGTTTAGCATCTAAACACTTTAAACATGAAATATGGGGGAAAAAGTGAGTTTACGGCCAAGACACACTCTTGGGCCGTAAACTCCACATAAATGAGGATTTGGAGCCTTAAAACATGTCCAAATGCCCTGAAACTCAACCAATGGCTTTGTGGTAAAATCTAGATGCATCTAAAAATAGTTTAAGGGTTTGAAACATATCAAAAGTATCATTTATAGGAGTTTACGGCCTAGGAACATACCCTTGGCCGTAAACTCATAAAACTATGTTAATGATGCATCAAATACACTCAAATGGCTTGTATAAATTTCTAGAATCACATGTGATTGTTTTAAGCATCAAAAACTATCTTTTTCATGAGTATAGTAGAGTTTACGGCCTTAGAACATACCTCTAGGCCGTAAACTCCAATAAGTGTGTTAAATGATGTTCTAAATTCATAACAAATCTTGGAAAATTAACTAGAATCACATGTGATTGTCCTTTGAAGCTCAAATCAATTTTTCCTTGGCCATAGGTGAGTTTACGGCTGTAAACTCCTATGGTATGGCCGTAAACTCCCTTTTAAGTGTTATAATTTCATTCAATCAACTTCCAAGGCATTTTAGAAATCCATTCCAACAATCCCCATGTCCATTTAAGCCATTAAACACCCAAAATCACACCCACATGAGTTTACGGCCGTAAACTCATGTATGTGTGTGTTCTATGGCTGTAAACTCTTTAAAATGTTTACTCTTGGGGAGTAAACTCAAGTCCCAAGTCCCTAGTGCCATTACACGTCCGAAGATGTCACCCGGGTCACTCCAAACGCTCGTTTTGAGGTGTTTAACCTCGTTGGAGTGTAATGTTCCATATGATTAGTGAATGTATCCCTAATTGTATATATATGGACATTATTTCATTTTACATAGGGACATCGCGAGTAATCAAACCCCGAACCAACGTCTAGTATTCAAAACCGACACGTTTCCGAGTCCGGTGAGTTCATACCCCTACCCTTTTTCACTGTTTTCACTGTTTTCAGGGGGGAACACAAGCAAAGTACAAGGGAATTCTTGTACTCAAAACATTTTCAAATATGTGTTCATATTTCATATGCTTTTTTACTGATTACCATAACAATAACCATCGAACATGCAGATCACGTAACATATATTTGTGAAATAGGTCTTTAAACTGTTATGTTTTACATATATTTCACAAATGGTTTTCCACATTTTATCAGTTAAAAGCATGACATTAAACATTTGAACATAATACCTGTACACTGTTTTGTCCTCGGTAACACTCCACACACATACGCGAGTGGAGGACTATCATATTATTACTAGTAAATTTGTTAATCCTGTATGATTGGAGACACGTCCTCGGAGAACACTCCACCGAGATACGCGAGTGGAGGACTACACCCATAACCAGAATCTCTGGTATTTAGAGAGCGTGACTTGAGTGTATAGATCTATACGAGGCTGACTACCCCACACCTGGCTGCTAGCTACAGCCGAACCGAAATGGTTCAAGGGTGACGAAAGTCATAAGTATGTGGACTACTTATTGCCACATGTGGACTACTTATTGCCATAGGTTTCAGTCTATTGTATGGTTATGGAACTCGCAATTAGGATAACAGAGATTTACTTATAGTAATAATGAACCACTTTATACATCTTTTACATCTTTACATCTTTCACATACTGTAACTAACAATCAGGAAAGTACGGGACTTTCCTGGGGAAAACATGGAACCTAATCACGATTACATCTTTTACATCTTTAACATTGTTTACATTAGAAACCAACATGCAGGAAAGCATGGGGCTTTTCTGGTAACACTTACATAACTAGAAAGAGTAACAAACGGATAACATTACATCTTTTACAATTGGTAACATACAATAAGGAAAGTATGGGACTTTCCTGGTAATACATGATAAGTAAACAGAACAGTTTGACAAGTCGGATAACCAAACTATACATTTTCACATGAGTAGACATGTTTTCAGTGTACAAATCTATTATACTTTACATTTGTGAAACAATACCAACTTTTAAGAAAATACGGGATTTTCTTGGTGTACATAACATTTCAGAAACAGAAAGGAAAGTCGAAACATTTTCACAAACAAAAACCGCTTATGAACTCACCAGCTTTATGCTGATTTTCAAACCGCTTGTGTTCTCAGGTCAGCGTTAGAACAGGTACCCGAAGATTCCTTTTTCAGAAGACGGAGTACATGAAGACCCGTTTCATTTTGTCTATATATACTATGTATCACAACTTGTACAAACTTTACTTTTGAAACAACTGTAAAACTTTATTATGTAATGTAATGGTTGTTTTACTTTACTTACTATGTGCATTGGATTTGATACTCAACGTGGAGTCAACCCCGGAAATGTTTCCGCCTTCGGTTTTCGGGGTGTGACAAATTGGTATCAGAGCCCTTGTTTATAGTGAATGAAGTATACCAAACCTTACATGGTATAAAACTATAAACACTAAAGGGCCTAAGTGCTCTGAATTAAAAGTATCTTCAAACTACAAGTATTTTCAAAAGTATAAAAGTATACTGAACCGTCGTCATCCGTAACCACAAGTAGAACCGAACATAAGTAATTGGGTGTTGTGTACTATGGTTAAACCTGGGCAGTTATGTAGTCGTGTCTAGGGTCAATATGGCCTGGCCAACTATATTCATTCGAGACACGGCCAACATGTGCTTGGGAGTGACTATGGTATGTGGCATGCCTAAAACTTACCCTAATATCCCAAACATCGAATCATTATCGTAAACAATTCATGAAATACTATGGGAGTATTTCTCAATCCCAATCCTATGTAGTAATCCTTATTCGAGTGACTTTCTGTGATTATTCTTAGCGATAAATTAGCTATTCGATAACTTTTTCCTGCTTTATCGCTTACTCGAATCATATAACTGCCATATATATCGATTCAATATAGAGGACTTACCATCCTCTCTTTCTTGATCTTATTAGATCAAGATGCCTCCCCGAAAGAGACCCAGTTCAAAGAACAACAACAATCCTTCTTCGCCGCCACCCCCTCCCCAGTTTGACCTAGCATCGCTCCAGACAATGATGACAGCTGCAATGGTAGCAGCTATGTCACAAATGAACCCTAGTGGTTCAAGTGGTGGTCCTCAATCTCAAAACCCTGAAGGTAGTCAGGGACACCAAAGAGGGGGTTCCTACAAGGATTTCATGAACGCAAAACCAACATCCTTTAATGGCGCTGGAGGTGTCATTTCCTTATCTCGATGGTTCGAGAAAATAGAATCCATCTTTGAAATCTGTGCTTGTGCGGAGTCCGATAAAGTCAAGTTCGCAGCTTGTACCTTCGTTGATAAAGCCTTGACTTGGTGGAATGGCCGAGTCAAATCTCTAACCTTACCAGTAGCCAATGCCATGGGCTGGGAGGCCATGAAAGAACTTCTCATTGCCGAGTACTGCCCCCATGGTGAAATGCAGAAATTAGAGCACGAGCTCTGGAACCTGAAGATGAAAGGTTCCGACATTGCTGCATATACTTCCCGATTTGATGATCTCGCACTTCTCTTGCCCAGGACTAGTCACTCCTTGAAAACAAAAAGATCGAAAGGTTCGTTTGGGGGTTATCTCAACCAACAAAGAGTCATGTTTTGGCTGCTCGTCCAGATACCTATGATAGTGCCAAGACTTTAGCTCAAATA